TAATTAAATTCTTGAAATCTACTTAGTGTTAACACCGAGTAGAAAATTCCCTTAGTAATTTTTAATTATGCAAGAACACGAAATTCAAACTTTATTTAATTTTTTTATTCTTTTTATTAATACTTTATCTAATAATGAAAATCAATCTCAACAAATAAAAAATAACAATTATATTTCTGTAAACGAATTATTAATTAATATTCAAAATAAACATGCATTTTTTTCTAAATCAAATGATATTTTATCACTTAACATGACTCATCATTATCGATTTTCTTTTGGTCGATGTTGGAATTGCAATAGACATCATAATCATTATTGTTGTATTGCATGTAAAAAACAAGTTAGTGAATGTAACTGTGTATATGTTTGTGGATTAACATATCCAATTGGACAAAAAAATTCTAAAGGTGAATTCACTCAATTTGAAAAATGTAAATAGTCAACATCTGGAAATGATTTTCAACATCATTGTAAAGGAATGATAAGACAACAAGATAAAGAAGCGATTTTATTTGAAGATTACAGTAATGTTCGAGAAAAAATTAAAAGAAAAAGAGTTTGTTATCGATATGGTTCAGAAGATCATATTGTATATAATTGTAAAGAAGTAAAAAAATGTTATAGATATAATCGTAGTGGTCATTTGGCACGAAATTGTCATATTTATGATTTTTAGTTTTTATTATTTTTTTATTCTATTTACTTTATTGATTATATTTTTAATAAATTATCTAGTTAGTGTATTTCACCAACTAGAATTTTAAATACGTAATTAAAAATGACAAAATTATCTGGTGATTTTATGAATGATTTTGAAATATTTCTTGAAAGTGTCTTACAACAAGATATTTTTATTGCAAATAAATTTTATAAAAAGCATAAAGTATATTTGTTAGATAAAGATACGTTATTTAAAAATCATAATATAATGAAAATTGATTCAGAAAAATCATTGTTATTATTATTAAAATGTGTAAAATATGTATTTGAAAATACTTATCTTTCAACTATTAAAGAGGAAGAAGAAGAATAAATTATCTAGTTAGTTATTTAATGACCAACTAGAATTTTAATTATGTAACAAGATGTTGGATTTTTTAAACGAACCAATTAATATTGCAATCGATGGTCAAGTAGCAACAGGAAAAACATTGATTGGTAGTGAACTTGCAAGACTTTTAAAATACAAGTTTATTGATACTGGACTTTTCTATCGTTATTTCGCTACAACATATTATAATCATCATGTAGATAATTTAAGTGATGAAATAATTAATTCAAATATTACTATTGATGATTTAGAAAAAATTAATCAACTTAGTGATAAAGAATATTTACAAATTGGAACTTATGCGGCAGAAATAGCAAAAGATAATGGTGTTAGAGAAGCAATTAATACTATTATTAATCGATTAGTTAATGGAAAAGGATTTGTTGTAGTTGGACGTGATGTGACAACAAAGATTCTTCCTAATGCAGAAATAAAAATTGTACTTGATGCTGATATTGAAACTCGTGTATTTCGTAGAATGAATCAGTTAGAATATAAAAATGATTTTACATCAATTTTTGATGATTTAATGCAACATGATTATAAGTTATATGATTTAATTCAAAAAGCAAAACAAATTTCTACAATTATTGATATGAAAAATCTATCACTTAACCAAGTTATTCAGAAAATTTTAAAATTAGTTATCTATCATTCTTTACAACATAGTAAAATTATTCAATCATTTTTATTATTCATTCTTATTTTAGTTTG